AAACAGCACCATAAATGGGTGGAACTCGAGTATTTTAAAACTTATAGTGATAATAAGCATCCTACTATCTAAACAGAGGCAAGAACTGCCAAAACATTATGAAGTTCATGTTGTTAAGTCCCTCCACTCAGGACAAGGCTCATCTCTTCCAATTGTATTTTAACTGCACCTAGATATTTAGTGATGAAAAACGGTGTACACACTTTCACTCCTTCCGTCCTATTAATGGAGGATACTCGGTATACCAAGTAAATAAAAAAGACTTGTTCAAGTTATGTTATATGAGGTTTTAAAGGCATGAGAACAAAACATATAAATGCTTTGTCAGTCAATAAGGCACATATTAACACATAATTCTGCATAAAAATCAATATTTGAATATATTTCGGAATTTTGTTAAGAATCTCTTGCAGTTTCAAGCGATCAAGCCAACATTTGTGAAGAAATGAATTGTGAGGAAGGCTTAGTTTGCGCTGAAGCAGAGACGGGGAAGAGTGCAGTATGCATGGCTCAGGATCCAGGTAAACATCTAAAGCACATCATTAGCTCTCTGGCCTTCATTATAAACCCTAGCACGTCGCAGACCAACCTATATTACCAATTTATTTTTGGTAAAAACAGAAAAGCGCAATAATTTTAGAAAATAATTGTGAGACGACAGACTGTCCGCCAGAGGCTGTTTGTGAGTATCGCGAAACTGAATGTATCCAAGACAAAGCTTGCTTCGCCGAACCAGTGTGCGTGGTGTATGGGAATGGAGGTAAGCGGACAAACTAGGATTTACTTGAGAGCGGAGACGCTGAAACACACAACGTCGATCTTTTAGTGTGATGTACTTGCTGGGACACTGCTAACAGTGTAACTATACTGTACGGGATATGGGATTGTTTTCATTATCGTTTTCTACTTCATATGTTATGTTAAAGCCTGTGTTTGCTTCTTAATAAATTTAATTGCGTATTTTGTGTCTTACGAGTATGCTTGATGATCCATAATCTACAAAAGAGTTTCCTGCCAATAAAATCAAGCATTCGAAAATCGCCACAAGAGGATATTGCCCTTGTTAAAAAGAAGTTGCGTAAGAATTTCGAGCAATTAATTGCTTCCGAATATTCTTCTTTTTTTAAATTGGTACCAGAGTCACAGATTTAAATTTTAACTTAAAATATTGGGCGAAAAGCGGCGGGTGATACACAGCAATATACTATAGCGGAGAATTAGTTTGTGATAGGTAACTCCACATAATCTTGGATCCGCTTATAACCTGAAGCATAGTAAAACCTCAAAAAAACCTCTGGACTATCGAATCTCGCACAAGAGCTTTTTTAAACCATTACTCGTCAGTTCAAGGCGAATGGCGACGTGGGATAAACGCCTAAATTTTTTTTAGCATTCCAATTCTCTTTACACCGTTTCATTCCTTAGATATGAGGGGAAGTATGGTGACTTTGTGTAGGCAAAAAGCGCCGCAGAGTATAAAAAAAAGAGTTTTTTACGCGTTTCCTCAAACACATATTTCCAGTTAACATATTGGTCTTCAGAGAAATCTTGTAGGGAAGGTCTTAGATGCTTGTTCACATGATATGGCAAGGGGTGCGGTCCAGTTGCATTACAGCATAATTTTGATTTTTCACATTTTTTTTAACAAAATGATCTACGTCTTGTGATTTTGTCTTATGCTCCAGGACCATCTGTGCTACTTTTGAGGGGAAAGGATTCGAGGTGAGTGAAAGTTGACCTTGAAACAGCTTTACCTAAACTCCTGTGTGAATATACCTGTACACTTCAAGCTCGAAATAATGTGTGAAAAAAATGACACTGCGCTGTACACCGCCAACCACGTTGTGAAGTTCTCTATGAGAAATGATAAACCTAGACAATTGATTATTTTTAGGTTGGCGCTATTCCTCTCGGGGAGACATCACCCCGCCGTTGCTGGTATGTTTTTACTTATAATTTATTTATACATGAATATCATTAGCCGTCTACTTGTAGGCTTACAAAGTATTCATAAGCTTTCCTTTCTAAAATAAGCAATTACGCAGACAAACCAACCTTGCGGTAAATCTCCACCATCCCTGCCATAATAGGGACTCGAGCTTATGTTTAAAGGCGAGAATTCAAACTAGCTACAGTAGTGCTGGTTAGTATTTTTCTTTGCATTCATGTTATTCCACTTCGTCTCTTGTTTTACACAGCTAATTTTTCATGACATACGGCACCTTACTCCACTAATAATATAATAATTGAATTGACTTTCGCAAACATCCTTGAGAACTACTGATGAGGTACATAACCA